GATCTAATATTATTTATTTTTTTCTAACACTCTTTTTAACAAATAGTCTAATCATTTAACTGTATATCCTGACATTTTTATCATATATCTCTCATTCCTTGAATTTTATTATATAATTTCATCCTAAATTGTAATACGCTAGAGTAATTTTTAACATATCTTTTTAATTTTTCTTAGGACTTGATTGTATTCCTTTCATATTTTGGTAGCTTTAGGTGTAAATATTATAATTGGGGTACTTTGGGTAGTTCCAATTTTTTAGAAAAGTCAAATGCCATTTTTGAATTACGGCTTGACATTAGGCTATTCATATGTATATCCTCCTCAAATGACTATGATCAATGTGCCATTTTGGTTTCCCATAATTAGGAACATTCGGCGATTAAGTAACCAAGTGCTTGTTTGGGAGAGCTAAAATTAGGGATAACAAAAAAATCCGACAAACCCGATACCCGTTGGGCTCCGCCCCGAACGGGGAGGGGATGGGACGGAGCGGGGACGGGTAACAGGGGGCCCGCCCCTTTAAATTTAAAAAAAAAAAAATTTAGAATTCAATACTTTAAATGAAAATTTTCATTAGTTCTAATAGAAAATAACAACTAAAATTATTTGTCCAAATCTAGAGAATATGAGTAATAAAAATAAATTATAAAAAACTAAAAAAAAAAAAAAATTAAACGATTAGTAAACGGGGCAAGGACACCCCCGCCCCCCGGGCCCCGGGTTGTCATCCCTAGCTAAAATGTTGATTTAGATCTCGCAAAATAAGTAGTGAAAAGTAAATAGTATCCATGGGCCATATATAATGTACTACTGGGATTGATATAATGTGCGCATAGTTAAAATTAATTGTTGATTTTGACATTAACTTTTCAAGACTTCCCAAACAAGCACTAAACTTCAATTTGAACATGGGCATACACGATTTTGCAAAGTGAATTAGATGGTGGACTATCTATCATCATTCCGATGAGTCTGATGCAAGTAAAAGTTAACCGTCTGATAATTTCAAATTGAGTTGACATCTCTATCAATTGTTCTGACAACCTCACTTGTAGAAGCAATTGTCAATTGTCTTAACTCATGTCACGTGGTTTTCGTTATTTAGGTCTCACAAACAAGCTGGAACGTGACATATTCTGGTACCAAAATAATACTGCAAGAAAATGCGAGAGATAATTAACACTCCAAACATTCATAAATTTAGTGGAATACCAAGAATTTGACCGTCAAATATTCATTGATTCACTAGAAATACTAAATAATTGGAAGAATTGAGAAAGTCAAATTTTCATTAATAAACGACTTAGTTAAAATGAAATCTAATTCTAGCTTTTAAAAGAAAATAAGAAGTCCCAACTTATTAATTTAAACAAAGGCAAACTCGAGAAAACTATCCTAACAACTCTTCCAACATTTAAAACAAGGAAATTGAAATTTAGCCACAAAACCGTTGGGCTCAAGGGCTTTACCCCGATATCTCAGATTATTAGGCTCTTGTTTGATCCCTATTATTTTCAATATACATTTTTTCCTCTCTTCTTTTAACTATACATTCTCCAATAAAATAATATTACACATAAATTCAAATTTTTTCTTAATTTTTTAATCACATAAATCTACTATTTCAAAATACATTCTTACAATAATATAGGGCTCAAGTAGGTGTTTCTACCCGTCTTTTAATTCCAATTTGATACTTCAAATCTCTAAATTTTCTATGATATTCCCAAAATCAAGACTACACCGTCGAATGGACACATTTTTTAATTAAATCAATAAACTAATTCTTGAACCTAACAATAAGGGAAAAAAAATTCTCTCTCTCTCTCTCTCCAATATGAGCACTATGAAATTGAATTATGTATTATGATTGTTCTAGGATTTCTATGTTCATCTAATCTCTATTTATAGAGATAAAGATGTTCCAATCCAAATTTCACATAGAAATCTTAATTAAAAGACAAATAGGTGTTTTAATTAAAGTCCACATCCAATTACTTTATATTTAATTATATGTGTAGTCCTAAAACTTTAATTACAATTATAATTAAGTTTGCAACTTTTTATAGCAATTACAACTAAATATCAAACTTTATCGTAATTACAATTAAGCTCAAAATTATTATTATTACCGTAATTAAGTCTCAATATTTTATAAAGCTACCATGGGAACTTGATCAGACATATATTATTTAAACTCCAATAATTAGATCTTATCTAGTTGATCATAGAATACTCAATCTAATTATTAGCTTTTACATTTTTAACTAAGGGCAAAAAAATTGAACTCTTGAAATATATAAAATCACAAAATCCAATAAATCTGTAATACTTTCCTTTAACCTACGGTATATGTATTTTATACTCGCTAAGGATTTATAATTAGGTATGAACATAAATGACAGTTTTGCAATTCTAATTATTCTCACTAACTTAAGTTGTAACGTCTCAAAATTTCATATATCTTGAGGTGTTAACAAAAATTAATTTCATTTAATTAAAATACGGAATGATAATATTCTTTAATAAACAAAATATTGGAACATCCATAAATTTAAATTTGAAATAATAAATCGTGTCTTCAAAAAAAACTTAAACATTCTCAACTAATAAACTCGATAATAATGTTATTGAACAAAACAAACTAATGAATTTAAAAGCATTAAAACTTATTATTTTCGTATGAAGAAATCCTTTGGCAGTCCGCTGCATCATCTCGCCACAGCTCCAATCGACCCGATCTAGCCTATAAAAATTTGTAGGAGTGAATATTTTAAAAAACATCCAATAAGATACATGCAATTTCTATACGCGATTATATAACAATAACATAGACAATTAATAACACATTTCTCTTTATATAGTATATCGGTGACCAAGCGAGATACTCATCATTTCTCATTTTGAATTCCCGAAAGATTTCACATTTCATTATAAAGAACTCAAAAGAATTCACATTCCGTTAGGTCGAACTCGAAGGTCCACTGACAATTCATGCATCAATTATTGAATATAAAAATATACGGAAACATACAACTTGCACAAAAGTATCTAACCTTGATGAATCAAATGAGCTTTTGATAATAAAAATATACTTAGAATTTATAACTATTTTATATGAAAAATGCTGTATAAAACTCTGTGGTAGTGAATTATGGGACGTTGGCACACTATTCGTAGTTGAAAAATTTAGTGGTTGAGTTATAGTGAAAATGTAATGAAAATCGTATTTACCACATTTGATAAAATTGAATTGCTAGCAAACAAATCACAAGGTGACATGTGTACAAAATACTTCACTACAAAAAGGTTGTTGCAACTTGACTTTAAATAGAATTCTAAAAGCAAAAATAACAATTATCCATTCACGTGGCTATCCATCCCAATTAACTTTGATTTTGAAAAAATAATAAATAATAAATTACAATTTAAGGCAAAATCTTTCCACCTTTATAACTTGGGTCTCACTTATCCAAATTGACTTTTTCTTGAGTCTAATTTGTATGATTAAAAACGAGATGTCCAAGGAGACTCATATTGATATATTTTCAGTCGCTTTAACAATATCTAAAAAATGTAACCCCAAAATCGAAGTTAATACATATATCACTTTATTCCCTCAACTTTCAAAATAATAAAATATAATATATAGAACAAACAATTTTATTTTATTTTTTAAATTTTCGAGGTGTTACATAAGTACCATTTTTTTTAACGGTCATGTGGACTATAACAGATGTCGAAATTTAACCGTCGCTAAACACTGAGCTCATGTTTTAATTGATCAACATAAAATACTTAAGTAATCACTCCACCCATTTTTCAGGACGACAGTTCCCGACATGAATTCATGTTCTTTATTTTGCTCATTCTCAAGTTCCCAACTCACCGAAATATTTGATTAATCAAATTGACCTCACCCATTGGTGAATCATATAACCATTAAAATCACGAAAAGATATACATAACAATTTCAAGAGATTTAGATGAAATACATGACGATCAAGTAATTTAATTTTCAGCACGGTCATGCTATAAAATTAAACTCGACACGTGGTCCGTTCAATACACTCAAAGCGAACTAATATCACCTTTAACTATTTTTGAGATGAGGATAAATCATAAACCCGAATAGTGAATCAGTCAACACTACAACCTTTCAATACAAGACACCAATCATTATACATTGATTGTGAACAAAATATTTATGATCGATATTATCACAATTTATTTATTATAAATTATTATTTTATCATAACAAATATACTATATAAACACATCCCCCGACGCATCTCTACTCATCCCAAAGGAAATAACTTAGTTATTTTGACATTTCACTATAATAATCAAGATTTGAAATTTTATTAACTCACCTAACATTGACAATGTAGCCATCTGCGTATCATTAAAAATCACTCTTCAATTGCTACACTCCACATTAAAGTTTGTAAGAGTTTTCAATATACTGTTATTAATCTCTTTTAGCTGACAACCATTTTAACCTTAAATTAGTCCGAACAAATGGAAAAACGATGCTAATCAGCAAGCATGATATTGAACAAAGAGAAGAATAATGATTGAAAACAAGAATTATTGTGTTCTCGTTGTTTGGGGTGTGGAAATATTCAACAATATCCATATCCATTTGGATGGAATTTTACTTAAATTCATCAGATATACGCTCAGAGAAATAATAAGTGTCATTTCTGAAAGACCTTTTGATTCTTGTTCAACACAATCATTGCATAAATTATAAACAACAATCGAATAAACTGACTGAAACATCTTTAATGCACTTCACTCAAAAAAAATCACGGATAACTTAGACATGGAGAAGAATGAAACATTACCATGCTTCTACTCACCAACTCATCCCGCCCATGCAGCACAATCAGTAGCTTAGCTGCTTAGACATGGAGAAGAATGAAACATTACCAGGCTTCTACTCACCAACTCATCCCGCCCAGGCAGCACAATCAGTAGCTTAGCTGCAAATCTCATGTCTGGCCAGCTTCACCAGCAGGTCCTGGCCGAGCATTTAAAAGTGGCTGGAGGGCTTTGACTACGATGCTCATGTTTGGCCGGAAATCAGCTTCATATTGGACGCACAAGGCAGCAACAGCAGCCATCTGCAATAAAATCGAGAGAATTGAGTGAGGAAAACTGTAATAATAGCAATCAAACATATCTTAATCTCTTACTATAAGGCCAGTATATCGTTCTTCTTTACCAAAATGATAAAAACCTTAGCCAGTACAGCAATATTTACAAACTTCAGCACTTGCACCAGACGTGTACATGAAAAATGTAATCTTCTCCTTCTAAATCGAAACTTGATAGTTACCTTAGCGACCGACTTAGGAGGGTATTCTCCTCCCAGTCTTCCATCAACACATTGCTTGACCTTGTCTTCACTCAGCTTTGGCGTAGCCTAAATAACATGGTAGAAAATTTGAATAAACAACTAAAGCACAAAAAAATTAGATTCATATTTCAAATAAAATGAGATGTGAAATGAACCACGGATGTTAGAAAGGAAAATTTGGAGAAACTTAATACCCATGTAACTAGACTTTGCTGCCCACGAGGTAATGTATGATCAACAGGCTTACGTCCTGTAAGAAGCTCTAGAAGGACAACACCAAAGCTGTAGACATCGCTCTTTGAGTTCAGCTGCCCAGTCATAGCATATCTGCCAAATAAGGTACCAAAGTGCACGTGTAAATAACAAAACGCCAATATTGTTTTAGTGCCAATAGAAGGATGAGGTCCAAATGAATACAGGATTCAGAAGATATAAGGTTCAGATAACTGAAACTCTGAAGCTGGATATTAGATAAGTAACACATAAGAATATAGTGTTCTGATGACTGGACAAAAGTCTCACGAAATAGAATTCATGATAACAAAAAATTTCATAATGTAGTCATAAGGTTCGTTAAAATCTCATTCAACGATCCTGGTTGCCAAAAAGTCTAGGAAACAGATTAACATTAGGATACAATGGCTTATTCAAGCTTCAATAACCATAATACAGGTAGCCAAGTGACTCATTTTACATAGTACACATGATCTATGACCTTGACTTTTGAGTTCCAAAATGGAGAGAGGATAGAAAAATGTATTATAACATTTCAAAAGGGGAGAGAGGAGAGAAAAGTGTCTATAACGTTCCAAAAGTATCTTACTCAGGAGCATGGTAACCAAATGTCCCAAGAACACGAGTTGAGTGAAGACGTGCTGCCATATCAGGAGCTTGATTTGACAAATCAAAGTCTGCAATTTTAGCAACATCATCATCAAAGATTAACACATTGCTGGACTTAACATCACGGTGGATGATGTGAGGATCTGCTTTTTCATGCAAATATTCAAGTCCCTTAGCAGCACCTACTGCAATCTTTACACGCTGCGCCCATGAAAGAACAGGACCAGGTTGTGCCCCTTTAACACCTTTCCTTCCTGAAAGATGACAATTGAAGATTAAAAATAGAACTTGTCCTCAAGTTATTAGTATGGATCAACACAGAGAACGGTTGATAATAAAAAGTCAAACCAGACACAAACTCCGGCATTCCAATTAATTAGTATAAAGGCAGGGGAATGCCTTCTGAGTAGTATAATGATCAAAATGTCAAAAGATGGGAGTCGTATAATCATCAATACGTAAAAAAATGCCCACCTCGAACTTCCTTAATCGGTCAGTTGTAAATATAGCATGACTTAACTACTATTCACAAGAAACTACAGTCATGGAATTTTTAAATTCGATGCCCCACATTTTAATGTAACAACGTTGTTTCAGATTTTTGCTACTTACGACTCCAAGATTATCAGGGGGAAAAGCAGACAAGGAAACAAAAATATTGGTGTTCACGTACCATGAAGTATATCATGAAGAGATCCATTAGATGCAAATTCATATGCAAGAATGCGCTGATTTCCATCAACACAATAACCAAGTAATTCAACAAAATTTTCATGTTTTAGCCTCGACACCATAGAAACCTGCAAGTTCAAAACCAATTTGTTGGACATAGTTAATGCTGAATGCCTGATTCCTTGTAGGACTGAATAAGTTACAATATTCAAGTGAAACCTGGGCTAAGAATTCGTCATCTGGTTGCTTGCTTGCATCCAACTTCTTTATCGCAGCAGCCCGACCATTCTTAAGAATTCCATAATATACTCGCCCATATGAGCCTTCCCCAATTAAAGAATCAGAGCCAAAGTTATCGGTTATTTCTTTCAATTCATCCCCGGGAATTGATGGAACTGCAACGGGCTGGACATTAACAGCTTGAGCTTTCTGCGCTGCATCTGTCATATGATAATGTCCTTCATTTCCTGGAGGAAGAATTTAACTTAGCCCTTGTTTGGCCCCCGTTAAAATTACAATTCATTTTCCTCTCTCTTCTTATCAACCACACATTCTTCAATAAAATAATATTACATGTAATCCTAAAATATTTTATTCTTTTTTAACCACACATTTTTTTAAAAAGAATTTATTCCAACCATTAAAATTTCAAATAACGGGGGCCAAACGGGGGCTTAATTTATACTTGGTCTTGTCATTAACAATAAAAACAAAGTAAAACGTGTAACAGGAAACAGGAAAAAAAAACAAGAATAGAAAAGTCAGAAAGATCATACAATAAGTAGTGAGTGTGCATATTTCAAGGTGTGTGGATTCAATCAGACACCTCTTAACAGTGCATAAATTAACCTGTCTTAGCTGAATGCTTGATTTGATTGAGAATTATATCATAATAAACATTAAGTAAAACCAAAATAAAATACTCCTCAGTCTATCAATATAGACCAGTTTAATAAACAATGTTTAGTGTAATGTTAAACCTAGGCACCAACTCCCAAATAATATTGACAATAATTCTGACATTCCAAGTCCTAGTTAATTATTCTAGCATGGAAGTAGCATTGATACTATAGGTTCAGGATCCAACAGGACAACAATAACAAATGCATGAAAAAAAATAAAAGAAAAGAAAAAACACATGAAAGGTCAAGCTCTAATTTTTAAACAGTAAGCAAGCAGACTCATGCAACCCAAGCAAATAAACCAGATATAAAGCAGATTCATAGGGGCAAAGCCACATCATCCATTCTAATAGCAAGAGCTATATGCCAATACAGACATACAAACTTAAGCTAATGCAGAGAAAATCAATTGTCGTGTCTTCATGCTCTTTATGTGAATGCCTAAATACGGTTTTGGAGACTTACCAACTGAATTTTTCATCATATACTGGCCTCCACCATCAGCATGTTTACTGGTATCATCTTCTTCACAACAGCCAAAACAGCTCATGTTGATTTTCCTCGAAGTATCTCTGCTCTGAATAAGAGATTTCCTTTTACCTGGAAGAAAAAGAAAGCTCACTTCAATGCACATTGCATAGCACGAAAAGTTATCAAAAGTTACGTTCAAGATCATTCTTGGTGAATTTCCATAAATAAGGAAGTGTACCTATAATAGCATACCCAATTACATTTTATCCATATTTATAGGAAACATAAAAAACCGATCAGCATTTTGCTTAATTTCATTAAATTGCTCGGCCACATTTCTACCATCAATCACTAATAACAAAAAACTTTTTGGCAGTGAATTAAGAAATTCATTGCATCCTCTACGATATATATTCTCGCTAAAGTGTCCTGAATGTCTGTAGCCGTCAAATTATCTGAGTAGAAGCCAAACAAAGTGTTTGACAAAGAGTTGCAGGTGTGACTCTAACTCCAGTAATCAATTTGTTACAATTTCAGTCTTTATCGAGTCTATGAAACAGTTTCATCCTCCATGATCTCTAGCTTTGAAGACCAAAAAATAGGAAACATACTCGATTCAGAGGTGATCTTTGTCCTTGGCGCCACTTTCTTAGTTTATAAGCAAAAGCATAAAAAGGAGATGCTATTTCGCTTTCCAACGTGGATAAATAATTAAAATTTGTAACCTTGCATATACACTACTTATACTTTTAAATTCATTTATTGCGGAAGTGGAACTATTCCAACACAAAATGCGTTCATTCACTTGCAGTGTTGTAGATGGTAACGATTTAATAACCAGAAAAGCAAAAACGAAAAGGACGGAAAACTAATTTAGATATTAGATAAAACTGTTGTTACGAACAGACACGGAGATCTAGGAGGAACCAGTTAAATAACAATTGATCATCTATTATACTAGAAACAAAATATTCAAGTTATATATTCCAAAAAAACACCGAGATCAAAATTAAAGGAAAGAGATAACTAAACCTGAAATCAGCAAGCGAGGCAAAAGAGTTGTGCCAATCTACTCGAGTAACTCCACAACCCACACAAACTGAGAGAGAGATAGATAGATAAATATATATATATATAGAGAGAGAGAGAGAGAGATTTGCCGGTCGAGGAGAGCAGTATCGGAAATCGAAGCCGGTGATAAATGCGGAAGCGATTAGCCAAATGGGGAATCAATGGGTTTATATATTATAATATTATAATGTGTGTGTGTGTGTGAGAGAGAGAGAGAGAGAGAGAGGCCCGTCTTCGCTTATATAGAAATTTGGCTTTGATTTTTTGAAGAATCAAAGTAAAACTTGCCTTCTGCTACAGTGACGCAACTTTTGGCAGAAAAATCAAGGAATTGATGAGGTTGGTATCGAAGGTTTAGAGTATGTTTGGCTTTGCTTTAAAAGAAGTCAATTGTACAAAAAGAGAATCTTCAAGGTTAAGGGAAATGATGTGTGTATCCCTCATAATGTATTCACGGGTTTACATTCCCCTCATATGGAGGGGGCCACATAATTTATTGTATGCGGACCCTCCTCTATATGAGAGGTGTAAATACATATGTACATAGTTATGTACGTGTAGCATTACCTTAAAAACAAAAGGTGAAATATTGATGGTTTGAAATTTCGATTGTATTATATGTGCATAATATGTTTAAATAATGATTTACATATATATGATGTGGTGAAATATGATTGATGCAAAATTTCTTCAACCAAATAAAAAGAATGCCACTCTTTTTTTACACGTCATTTATATGTAAATCATTATGTAACTGTTTATATATAAGTAGCATTATTCTTGAAATTTTTGTTCATTCTTTCAAATATATTGAAATGATCTTTTGCCCATGGTACGTAGGATAGAACATGCTCACTAGCGACAGCCGACAAGGCAATGCCACATCAGTGATCAAGCGTACAATTTTTGAGAATTCAAGATGAATTATAGCCACGTCAACGGTGGGTAAGATAACTTCTACCCACCATAAGTAGGAAATCAATTATATTCAAATATATACGTTTCTCTCAAAAGGATTATTAAACTATCTATCTTTTTTTTTGTACAAATTTCGTAGTTTCATATTTTAATTCGAATTAGATAATAGGGTTTTCATATTTTCCTTGTTTGGCCTCCATTATAATGAGGTTTTTGGAATTAATATATTTTGGAATGGTAATTTTTGACAAAATGTGTGGTTAAAAAATGAAGAATTTTTTTATTTACGTATAATATTATTTTATTAAAGAATGTATGATTGAAAATAAGATATGGCAAAATGTATTAAATTTTAATAAGGGCCAAACAAGGGCAACACTCGACTATAGCACATCACATTTATTTTGTAAAATTAAATTAGCATATTTAGCTCTTATTTGATGAAAATTAAAATCTATATTTTAATTTAAATCAAAGTCGACAATTAATTTTAACGCTATATTTTGTGAGATCCACAACTTTTTAACTATATATTTCATCAACTTTTATCAAAACTTGCTAAAAATCTGCTTTTAATATATGCAAATAAGGGGCTTGATAAACTGTATACAAGGGAAAAAAGTTCTTTTAACCTAGACTAGTTTTTGCCCATGCATTGCATGGGATTTGTTATTTTGTAGGCAATGTTACCATGTTAAATGTGTTGAATTCTCCTTCATTCAATTATTTTTTTCTATACAACATTTCATAACTTAAAAAATTGTATAATAAATACACTTTACCTAACAGATTACATCAAATGCAAAAAGATTAGGGTTGGTTAACTTGCATGTAAATTGGAATTTGAGAAAATGTTCTTACCAATTTTTGACATAAAATTACAATGTCTCAACAATTTAATGTTTAAAGCAACAAGCATAGAGTCTCGTCAAGATGATATACTGAAGCTGGTGTGTAACTATTAACCAATACCAAGTCACATATTGATAATGATGTTATGGTATTTACCCATCGGCTAGGTAAATACATGACATTTTGTTGGATATGGTATTTCGTCTTCTTTCTGTGCTTGTTATGTCCATTCGTCTTGTTAGATTTAGTTATTTTCTCTGAACATTTATTAAGGCCTGCAGCAACCTCTAAATCAAGAATAAGAATTACACATGTTACTGAAATATCTGAGTTATGTGTTTATCACAACTAGCAAAAGTTTCATTTTAAAGAAGCAAAACATGAAAATGGGAAAGGATTTCAATAGCTGCAAATAATACTAATTTCTTTGTCTCCTCACAAAAATTAGTTAAAGATTGGGAATAGTGTATAGACCATGTATGAGATTGAAAGACAGACATCTTACATATATACTTCAGTAAATCATGTAAAAATACTTGCATATGGTAGAAATCTAACTTAGTTTGAAGAAGATAATAATCTAAAGAAATTCTAGGGGGACTACACAAATGAAATCAGTTTATGCTAACAAATAAAATGATTCTTTAACAAAATGGATGCTATATCCAGAATAAAATTTAAACTAGTTTAAATCATTACAAATATAAACTACCAAAATTACACGTTAAGGTTCTAAGTCACTTACCCTTCCTTGAAAGCTTGAGTATCGAATTTGAAAAAACTAAACACAGAGATGCTCTAGAAATGAGCCTCCAATCCGACCTTGAAAAAGACTAAGATCTAGTTGGAGGGAAGGAAAAGCACTATAAGTTAGACAGATAGAAATCTATAGAATGAAATTGTGTCAACTACTCAACAACAAACGCTCGTCAAGTACAGCATAATAAGGATATTTGTAGATGTATTGTAATTGCAAAAAGGCAAATGATAAGAAAGAGAGAACTTTCTAAATATTGTCATCAAATAGGCACATGCTACTACTGATTATTCAGGCTATCAAATTATGACCTCAATCTCAGTGCGATTAACAAAATGACATCATATGAGACCATTTGAGTTATAATTAAAGCATCATTCTTTGTCTCCATCATAATTCAACAATTAAAGACATTTCATTCTATTCCATAAAATAGGGGGAATGCATTAAGACTGATTGGCAAGCTGTTGAGGGGAGAATTTTCTCCATGTCGTGTCTCTGTTGAGACACGAAGAGGCGTGATATAGTTTCTAGCTCCAAAATAATTTATCCATCTAGTAAGAAATATGTGGTATTAACATATTTTATGCAGCATAGTCTCGCTCCTATCCAAGAATTTTTTTTATTTTTTCTCACAACACGCTAATCATCTTCAAATGTCTGGAAGAGTAAAAGTTGGAATTTTGTAAAGACACCTATTATGCAAGTCCTTTAATGGGGTGTGCTATAGAACAAAATAAATAAATACTGAAAATAATGAATAAAAAATATTAAGTGCCGTTTTGACTTAGCAAACAAACTCAAAACGTTTCATTTTCTTCGAACGCCGATCATTTTAGGCTAGTGAAAATGTTATTGTTCCGGACAATTTTAGGTTAGTGAAAATGTTATTGTTAACACTATAGTAAAAAAAAAAAATGTCTCTGTGCGCGTCTCCACGGAGACACTCCCGTTCATTTTTTTTTTTTTAATGTCTGCACGGAGACATGGCCGTGTCTCCGACTTCCGGAGATTTATTATTATTTTTTTTATGTCTACTAGAGACACGGGCGTGTCTCCGTGGTACGCTGGAGAGCGACCTTTTTTTTCAAAGTCAACAATTGTGGCTTGCATTTTTTTTTTTTTTGGTCCACATATGGAACAGTGATATATGAGGAGAAATCACAAATGAATAGTAATCCTCAAAGTCCCTCGTTTAAGAGAGTAGGATAAGTATATTAGTGTAAAATTTTCATTTTTTAAATTGATCGAAGTTATCACTTATCACCCCTCCTCATAGACAATTGAATCACTTTTGACAATTCTTTTGAAGTCAATTTTTAGGTGAACTAGTCAACGTTGAACGTACGTTGCACGTTATTATGAAATACTTTATAAGTGTTATAAAAGTAATATTTAAATATACTTTAATATTATTCAATTTAAAATTAATACTATGGAATATATACGTGATAATGAATGTTAAATTATTTATTTAATTTTCAATTAAATAAAATGGATATTAATTAGCATGCATGGAAGCGAATAATGAAATGTATTATTGAATGTAAAATCCTAATTAACGTATAATTAGAATTAATAACATTGAAATATATAAATGAAGATGAATATTAATTTATTGAGAATTAATAATGGAGAATTCATATATTAACGAAGGCACACATGTAAAATGAATATGTCAAATGTATATTAACATTTATGGTAATTAAATAATTAAATAAATTAAATATATAATGAAGAACGAAAACTAAGATATTATTGAAATAATTGAATTATAGTGAGGTTAGAATCGTTAAAAAAATTATTCTCATTTGATGTGATATTTAATTAGCTCTTGTTTGATCCTCATTTTTTTTAAATATAATTTTCTCTCTTTTTTTCAATCACGCATTTTTCAATAAAATAATATTACAGGTAACCAAAAAAACTTTTCCTCATTTTTAATCATACATTTTCCATCAATCTATTTCAAATGAATTATATATAGGCTCAAACAAGCCTTATATATTATTGATTTTCAACTTCCTATGTAAGATTCAACTGTTAGCTTCGCTTATGCACCAACTTCCTTTCAACTATTTGTAAATTAAAATCGATTATCAGGTGAAATGTAAAATTAAATATGATTGGACATGTGACTCTAGACCAATCAAGAATTTGAAAGTTAACCAAACTTTAGATAATAGCGATGTAAAAATCACTTTAAATTAAATAAATTATCTGACTATAATCAATTAATTCAATAGCGAAAATATGTATCAATTCCTATCAAACACAATCACTCCTATTAACTCTGAAAGACTGTATACTTGCAAATTATAAAAAGTAAATGAAAATTATGGACGTGTTCGGTAGAGATTAAAATCGGATTAAAATTGAAAAATTAACCGTTATTGTTGATTTTTATTAGACGAGTGTGACATAAACCTTCATTATTGTACCCAAGTGGTCAAGTGCTGGGTTTATGTAAATTGGGTGAAACAATCCATGTTTAACCATCATTATTTGCGTACGTGCAAAATATTTTCACAAATCCAAAATCTTTCCATACTTTCCAACCACACATTATCATAAAAATCATTATTCAAAATATTATTTTTTCCAAATAATGATTGTCAAATATGGGCAAAGTATATTATTATGTCATGTTATTTTCAATAACTTGTATACTTCATAATATAAAAAAGTTTATCTAAATTATAATAAAAAAATTTAAATGGAGATCAGCGATTGAAGTTGAAACCTTTAAAAAAAGATGTGTAAAGTCGTGAATCTTAATTATTATCGTAGTGTGGGGTCTTTACATGGATCGATCTTCGCGATAAGGTCGCCGTTGGGTTTGGAAGGGGATGAGAAAAATGGATTTTCACACTTATAATTTTGAATTTGCCTTAACTTTTAATAAATAGGGAACCGTCAATATCGTTGAAGTAATCTACAATATATTAAAAGTGGGGATTGAGGAGAAACTTTTGAATACCTCATTTACCCTTACGTATTTGATATATACCTAACATACCCTTATTTAATTTTAGTTTTATCAATAATTAATTAATGACATTAATTCTATATACCCTTATTTAATTATAGTTTTGTTAATAATTAATTAATAGTATTAATTCAATTTATTCGAAATTTAAAAAAAATTATTTTCTTTTCCATTTGTCAATAATTTTCCAAATTAATCTTTTAAATATTATATTAATTTTTATTAACAACTTTTATTATAAAAATATAACTTAAATTTCTTCATTCAGTTGAATTAGTCAATTAAAAAAAATCAATATTCCCTTATTTAAATGATTGTTTTCATTTGATTGTTTCACACATATCCTAACAACTAAATAATATATTTAATGTAATAAAATTAATGCGCACATAATGTTATTATATATTTTGATAAAATTTTGTTTTATGTTATGTTTACCCTTGTTTAAAATTGTTTTAATTGATAGTTACATATGAATCCCAATAATACCTAAGTTTAGATAAAAAAAATGAAATACCAAATGATAGGGTAATTATATTCCCGCCAAAATTTTCAGTAACTATACAACATTATAGTTGCAAAGGAGAGCACGTGAAAGGGATTGAAAGATGATTATTTTTATAATTAATAATTAGTGTAAATAAATGAGAGGGGAGATGCAGGGTTGCACTGTGTAATAAACATAATTAAGATAATTATGCTTATAAAAACCAACTTTGCTTGTTTTATAATTGTTGTCAATAAAAGCAATTTGTTGTGAGCTAAATGTAAGAATTATTGTCAATGAAAGCAATTTGTTGTGAGTTAGAGCTTCTATATATGTGATGCTTATATATGTGAACGTATTCATGTTGGGTATTGGAGTTTTGGTGAAGTCTATTTGCATAAAACAATTTTTACGAAAAAAAATGGTTGCTTTGGTATTTGAGGAAAATTTTGATTATGCTAAAAGATAATATAGTTCTTTTTGTTTTCTCTATTTTTATTTTTTAATTCTTTTGGTAATGTCCATAAAAATGATGAATATAAGTTACTTATAAGTTGATGAGTTTTTTTTTTTTGGGCGATTAGTTGAGCTTTGTTCGCATTTCAAATTAATTCCTAATATCATGGATTAAATTTTATGAAATTTCTATTTTAAATTTATTTATTACAAAATATCATTTTAACTGCATATATACATCCGTTTAGAACGTCCTAATCACGTGGCAGGTCGACAATATTATTGTCTCATCATATTCATGCAAATATGCATTATTTTTTTTATTCAAATTTATGAATTTGTTGAGCCATCTTTAGCTGCACATTTATATGCTAGATCTCTTTTCACCACTGCGATTTATCTTTGACTTGACGATTTATAATTTTAATATATATAATTTTTTGGTTTTTATTTAGTTGTTTTATTATTTATTAAATTATGATTTAATAATTACTTTTAGGAGAGATAATTGGACATTAGCATAGATGCAATTATATTAAACTTTGACAATTAGGATTTTATTGAAATGTGAACAATAGCCACTTTGGTCTTTGATTGATTTTTACATTAAATAAAATCATTTGGGAATTTCTTTTTTCATATTTACCCCATTTTCGATATTAAACAAATTTTGAAGTGTTAATTATAGTTAGCATATGTCACTGCATCATATTGATATCTGAGCACAATCATATTCTTGATAAAGACATGTGTTGTATGATATTATATTTTATTATATATCATACATTTGCTATAAGATTTTTTTTAACATTAATAAATAAATTATTAAACTAATATATCAACGACTTTTATTTTGTATGCTAGAAACATCACAAATGAATACAACACAGTCAAAAATACTAACAGAAACTAGATGTGATTTATCAATAGATCAACAAAATAAGTCAAGTTGTCAGTGTAATTTGAAAAATATTATCTTTTTTCCGTTTTGTGAATTGTTAATGTATATTTTTGTTGTCACATCTTAAATTTGTTCTCATATTTGTAGGATCGTTTTTGTGAATTGTTAATGTATATTTTTGGTGTCACATCTTAAATTTTTTCTCATATTTGTAGGATCGATGTCACTAAACAAAGATAGTGATTATATCTTTATAAGACAATTGAATGCATTTGAAGTGGATTATCAAAGTATCTATACTTCAAAAATATTCAAAGCAATAAAAACGACCGCGTTGAAGTTTTAAAACTAATTTTGTGTGATGGGAGGTATTATATAATATCATAATTATCCAATACTTTTCTTATAGAAGTTTTACTATTAAACTAATAGATTATTTTATTACAATTTTAATTTTTCCTTTAACAATATCAATGATCCCAACTACTTTAAAAAATAGTAATGGTACTTCAAAAATATTACGCACATCATTCATTCGATATATAAGACGTGCAACGCACATTTTTACTACTAGTCATCATAAAAGAGAAGATAGATATTAGAAAAAATAGGGTGCGTGATTTTTTAAAAAAAACTTATTTTCGTCATACTGAATTACTACAATGACAAAAGGAAGCGTAGTCTTAGAGCTTGTTTGGTAGGGGATTTTTGGGAGAAGAATTAATTTTTGAATAGTAATATGATGGGAAATGTGTGGTTGAAAAAGAAGAAAAAAGTATTGATGTAATGGAAAATATTATTTTATTGAAGAATGTGTGGTTGAAAATGAGAATTGATTTACTGTAGAAAATGAGAAGATGTACTAAANAAATGATAATTGATTTGAGAATCAATTCTCAAATCACTACCAAACACCCCCTTATATTGAAGCAAACTTCTATACTCTTGCGTGTACTTTTGTAACTTTTTTACCGTGATTATTGCTCTTGAATGTGTAGAATTAGACTTTTTAATTCTCAACATGATTATTTCTTTTTCTAGGTGAAACTTATAATATATATGTCCCACATGGGTAAAAATATTTTTGCTACATTTGTTTGGCTATCCTCGCTAAAAAAATTTGATACGTCATTTCATGAGCTCGAAATAACAAATAATAGTACGACATTTTGAGTGTTATTTTAACTATAATAGATCTCAACTCTCCAAGAATACGAAGTGGTCTCATTCTCAAATAAGATATGCACCAAATTTATTTTGTTGACAAATAATGCTTGAGTCGGTGAGAAAGAGAAGCACACTTGATATATTCCCTAGTTATTGTCGAATAATACCTTGTAATCTTCCCTTTTACAAAGTTGGGCTTGGATCCTTTGTCAAATGCATGTTAGGTTTTAGATTCTCAAAATTTTGAACTAAATATATAAACAAGTATAATATTTGTGAACAAGATTTGAGGAGATCGGTGGAAGGGGATTGTTAATTTGTTAGGTCATATGCCCTTGATTTATTCCAACACTTCACATGACCAATCAAGCCTTGGTCTCAAATGACTATGATCATCTTCCCCAATCAATTTGCTGTTTTGGTTTCCAATAATTAGGAACTTACGACAACAAAGTAACTAAATGCTTGTTTGGGAGAGCTAAAATGTTGATTTTGATCTCACAAAATAAGCAGTGAAAAGTAAATAGTATCTTTGGGCCCGATATAATGTATTATTGGGACTGATATAATATGTAGTTAAAATTAATTGTTAATTTTGACATTGACTTTTTAAGACTTCCCAAACAAGCACTAAACTTCGATTTCAAAGGGCGTGCACATTCTTGCAAAGTGAATCAGATGGTGGACTATTTATCATCATTTCGATGAGTCTGATGCGAGTGAAAGTTAACCATCTGATAATTTCAAATTGAGTTGACAATCCCAAAATTTTGCATCTCCACCACCAAATTCATTCCCACACAATTATGAAGTATTTTCAAGTTTCATCAACGAAAAAAAAGAGCCGAGAAACATTTTTTTTTTATATAAATCTTTTTACAAACAGAAATCTGGAAGTGAAATGTCAAGAAAAGAATAATAGGGCTAAAATCACAAAAAGGTAAAAAATTAAGGACTGCAAATGCAATTGTTTGTTTAATATATTCTTGTTATAATAATTGTTGGTTTTATATCATTTCTTGAACGAGTTAATTTCACCAAACAACCATTGAAGTTTGTAAGATATTTTTAAAAGGTGAATACATTAATATTCTTGCTCGTAATCATTAAAATTAATAATGATTGCAATTAATGTAAAATTCCACATTCCTGCTTTTAGTCATGATGGACTAACACATGTTATTTTGTATGTTACGTAGTAAGTCGTCACATTTTCATTAAAAAATAGTGCGTGTCAAAAACATTCAAAGTCAAAAACATAATAATTTAGGCCCAAGTTAAAATCTGAAATATATTTTTCCAATTTTGTCCCCTCTCTCGAATTGCCACTAATCTAGATTTCTCCAAGCTTGTAAAAAAATAGAAAATGGGTTTCATATATCATATATTTCTTTTTATATTTGTGTTTTTTGGTACCATCCCTTCAAATGTACACAATTTCCTTTAATTTTAAGGTTATATAACCTCAAAATAAATGAAAATAGAGTTCGACTAATAATATTTTATTGTTTTTCAGACACTACTTCGTGCAAGATTTCAAATTTAATTTGGACTTAAATCAATTTTGTGACACGAACTTTTGTTTCTTACGAAAACACGAAATTTCTTGCATTGCATACAAAATAATATTTTTAGTCCACAAGGCACTTAAATAAAAAGAAATATGATATTACGTTATTTTTTTTTTCTAACCATATTATTTTAAGGATAATTCTACTTGTACATTATGTNAACCTATTTTTGTGAGGATAAATCTACTTGTACATTATGACATACATAATGAATGACATAATGTACAAGTGGAATTATCCGATTGGAGGGTGTGTCGGTGGGCCAGTACATCCTCCAATAATGTACTGTCACTTTTACATTATGCCATCCATTATGGATGTCATAATATACAAGTAGCAAAAACCTTATTTTAATGACGGACTCCATTGGCTAAATCAACTCTTTTTGGTACAGTTATGTTTTACAAAGAAAAAGCTATGGAAACCAAAACCAACGCTGACCACACCACGACATAGTACAACATTTCCCATTCATATCCCATCATCTACCCTTCCCCTGCTCAACTTGCCCATTACTTTATTCTTTCTCCTACTTCCACTCGCCGGAACATTATACAAATTAACTCAACTATCCTGCAGATTCTGTAATTTCCTTATAGTAGCGTTTATTTTCTCGATTCTTTTCATCTTTATGTTCCTGTCATTACCAGGCTGCATTTAGATTTTATGTTAATTACATATTGAATTTTAGAATTTAAAAGATTTGAGGCTGTTTAGAGTGAATTTGGTTATGACTTATGTGGGTTTCTTTGAATTGGAATGGTTGTGTTGGGGGTAATTTTTTGGACTTCTGGGGTAGAACTGAGACCGACTAGTTAAAATTAAGGGTTCTGTACGTAAAGGTTGCAGCTTCAAGGATTTGATTTCTGATCTGGTTCTGGAGTAAGAATTAAGCTCCTGGTTGCTTCCTGCTTTTGTCTCTTTTCGTGTTTTTTGGTGGTTAATCTATGAAGGCTAGAATAGGAGGTGAAGCTCCGGTTTATTATGGTCTAGGTTCTGCCGGTTTAAGGGTTGTGGGGCAGAGAAGCCTTGAATGGGATCCCACTGATTGGAAATGGGATGGAGATCTCTTCCTTGCTACCCCTATCAATCCTAATGTTTCGAATTGCCAGAGCCAGCAGTTTTTTCCTCTTGAGACTGGAATACCAACGGCTGGGGGTCCTTCTAATAGGTCCTCTTCCTGCTCTGAAGAATTCAATCACTGGACTGATAAAGAGAAGAATGATTTAGATAAGAAAAGGAGGCTTATTGTCAATGAAGACAACAATTTGACAGATGGGGCCGGCAGTCTTGCGTTGCAGCTCTTCAAAGAAGACAATTCTAGAATGGAGAGGGGCGGGGGGAACTGTGATAGAACGCCTGGGAAAAAGACTAAGTTCGCCGGAGCTACTTCAAGTCGTGCGCTTTGTCAGGTTGAGGATTGTGGGGCTGATCTGAGTAAGGCTAAAGACTATCATAGAAGGCATAAGGTTTGTGAGATGCATTCCAAGGCCAATAAGGCACTCGTTGGTAATGTCATGCAACGATTCTGCCAGCAGTGCAGCAGGTTGGTCCAAATTCCTCATCTTTCTTGCTGTCCTTGTCTAGTCATTACTACCATGTTCGGAATTTGTTATTTTATTTGTAATGAACCGAATAATTATGTTGAACACTTCTTTAGCAAATGTGGTTTCAGTAAGGTTCAGATACAATGTTACCCGGGCCCAATTACTAGAAAGCTTTTAGAAGCACAGTAGTAATTTAGGGAGGTTTTTGTTTTTTAGATGCCTAATATTTCCTGTATGTCTGCAGGTTTCATGCTCTCCAAGAGTTTGATGAGGGGAAGCGAAGTTGCCGGCGACGATTAGCTGGCCACAACAAAAGGAGGAGGAAAACCCAACCTGACAATGTTAACAATAACAACCCTATGAATGATAACCAGACGAGTGGTTATCTCTTAATGAGCTTACTGAAAATACTCTCCAACATGCATTGTGAGTGGAACATGCTATCCCCTTTTAAACGTTGAGATTTAAATTTCTGTGATATAATTTCATTCAACTTCTTACTGTTCTTTAGTTAAAATTGTCTTATATATATTTCACGACAACCCCAAAACTGATTATATTCTGGATTTCATGAGTTGCAGCCAGTAGACCGAATCTCACGGATGATCAGGATATATTGTCTCATCTTTTACAGAGCTTTGCCAGCCATGGCTCCTTACACGGTGAAAGGACCATATCAGGGCATCTGCAGGAATCTAAAAACATCTTGAGGAGTCTGCCTTGCATGGAGAATTCAGAGTCGATAATGGCCTTGCTCTCAAATGGTTCTTATGGCCAAAGACAACATTGTATGATTCCCACTGATGATATGCCAAGGAAGGACAAGCCCAGACATTTGGCAACTTCTCAGAGGCCAGGCGTTGTGTTCCCCATCCTAAGCAGTTCGCCACCTTATGCCGAAGTCAGGGACAATTCTTCTGGGAGAAGCAAACTAAATAACTTTGATTTGAATGATGTATATGTGGATTCTGATGATGGCATGGAGGATGCTGAAATGTTGCCTGCCCCTGTGGATCTGGGAGCTGTTTCTCTTGAGCACCCTTCATGGGTGCAACAAGAATCCCATCAATCAAGTGGAAATTCAGATTCAGCATCTGCCCAGTCACCTTCCAGTTCCAGTGGGGATGCTCAGGTATAAATAGTTATGCAGTGTACTCTTCATACGATCACCTGGTATATTTTTAAATTTTATACTTTTTTGTTTTCAACGCTGAAAATTTCTGTCAAATCTCGAGCTATAAAAGCATTTTATTGGTATAATTGGGTATTCACTTGTCATGTTAAGAAGATTTTCGCCTTGGATTTTTCTATAATTAGGAGAATTACATTGCGTGATAAATCAACAATGTTTTGTCATTGCATCCCACCTTTGCTTATCAGCTTGGTTGCAATGAAGTCAAAAACCATATTTTTACCTTTCTGTTGATGATCTGATGAAGAAATTGATCCATGAACTGAATTTTAAACTGCTTTCTAAGTTCATTGCATTTAGTTTAATTATCAGTTGGATCAGCTTATGTTATGAAAATCTTGTAGGTATGCTTTTGTCTGGTGAATTTTACGTAAAAAAAAAAAAAATTCTTATTTGATTTACCTAGTTAGTAGTGACATTGATCGATATCAGCTTGTCTTTACATTATATTCATTTTGTTTCTGTCTCACATTTCTTTTTCATTGCAGGGCCGCACAGATCGCATTGTTTGCAAACTATTTGGAAAACAACCGAGTGATTTTCCAGTCATTTTACGAGCACAGGTAATTTTGAAGTTCCGTTTACTCTTTTAATGCTACTTTTTCTTTCTAGTTGCATCTTTGGACAAGCAATATCCCCCAACCAAAAAGAGGGGAAACTGGAAAAGATAATTTTTCTTCCTGTCTTTCTCTGAAAGTTTAACAATGTAAAATTTTGAACTTCCAGATTCTTGATTGGTTATCTCATAGTCCTACTGACATAGAAAGCTACATTAGACCTGGTTGTATCATTTTGACAATATATCTTCGTCAATCTGAGTCTGCATGGAAGGAGGTATGCTAGCGTTTGTTAAATATGTGAATGTGAAATTTCTGTTTCTACATTTTTTAATAAACCTTGTAAAAAAATTTAAAATCTAATGACTTTTTACAGCTCTGTTGTGATTTAAGCTCCAGTTTGAGTAGGGTTCTGGGTTTTTCTGGTGATGACTCTTTCTGGAGAACTGGATGGATTTACATCAGGGTGCAAAATCAAATAGCATTTGTATACAATGGTCAGCTCCCATTGGATTATTGGAAAAATTTCCTTTTCATTCATCTGTTAGCTCAAGAATTCTAAACTTTGTGTAAAGATTGATCAGTTGGAACTTTTCTTCTTGTGCAGGTCAGGTTGTTGTAGATACTGCTTTGCCTTTCAGCAGCAATAATCACGGTACAATTCTAAGTGTCAAACCAATTGCCGTGACAGCATCCGAGAGAGCTCAATTTTTTGTTAAAGGCTTTAATTTATCACGGCCCTCCGCGAGGTATGTTTATCATTTGGTGTGTGGTTTTTATCTTTTCAGCCTGAGTACTACCTGCCCCTCCAATATTCAGAAATTATTATGCCACTTACATTGGACATAGTGTCAAAATCAATGGAGTGATATGTGTAACTGTTAAACCTTTGTTTGCCAGGTTACTCTGTTCCCTGGAAGGTAGTTATCTGGAATCTTATAGCAAGTCGCTGGAACATGTTGATGGCCTTGAGGGGAATGTTCAGTGTCTGAACTTTTCCTGTTCCATTCCAGCAGTTAATGGGAGAGGCTTTATTGAGGTAAAGTTTATTCCGTTGTTATATTTTGTTTTTTTAGTGTGTATGTTGTTTTTCATATTTACTGCATGCATCGTTTTGTGCAATATTTTTTGATAATAAAACACACTAATTGAGACTATTTCTGTGTATCTTCTTGCATTGACTTACTTTTACCCAGACAAAATGTCCATGGTATAGAACTTGGTTCATGATTCCCACATAATGTGGCATGGTGGCCATTGAAATTTACATGCATGCTAACCTTGGTATGTTATCTGAAATTACTCAGGTTGAAGATCATGGTCTCAGTAGCAGCTTCTTTCCATTCATAGTTGCTGACGATGATGTTTGCACTGAGATCTGTACACTTGAGAGTGAAATTGAATTGGCTGTGACAGATTCGTTCCTCCAAGGCACTGAAAAATTGGAAGCACACAATCAAGCCATGTATTTCATCCATGAAATGGGATGGCTTCTCAGCAGAAATAGTTTGAAGTCTAGGTTGGGGCACTTGGATCCGAACTCAGACCGTTTTCCTTTTAATAGGTTCAAGTACCTCATGGAGTTCTCTGTTGACCATGATTGGTGTGCCGTTGTAAATAAACTCTTGGACATTCTTTTCAGTGGACTAGTGGGAGCAGGAGAGCAGCATTTCTTGAAGTTTGCACTGCAAGAGATGGGCCTCCTTCACCGAGCGGTGCGGAAAAATTCTAGGTCTCTTCTGGCACTACTGATGAGATACGCCCCAGAGAGTGTTGCAAATGAACTAAATTCAGAATATGAATCTCTGGTTAAATGTGATGGGGATTTCTTATTCAGACCTGATGTTGTAGGGCCTGCAGGTTTGACACCTCTTCACGTTGCTGCTGGTAGGGATGGATCTGAGGATATACTGGATGCACTGACTGATGATCCTGGAAAGGTAGTATAGTTTCTCTTTCCTTCAATTTTAATGTTCACAGGGAGCCATAGAAATTTGATCTTCCACACATGCATTTTTCTACAAAACTGTTCATTATCTCACTGGGCCTGTGCTAAGTTTGCTTGGCCTTTAGAGCATTCTTATAGGTAAAGCTGGTTTTGGGTAATGAATTTTGACACCCACGGCTCTATTCTGAATAGCATTCAATTTATCAATGAACTAGAACTGAGTGCTTCTGCTTCTAATTAAAAAGATCTTACCAATGTACTGTGTGGACTTATTTAGTCCATGTTTGGCAGAGCTTAAATGTTATTTTTAAGTTGGTCAAACATTCTTTTTATCCACCCATTCCATAGGACCCACAATTTATAAGCACCTAAAAGCATGACCAAGAAAGCAATTGTATAATTAAATTGCTGGTGTTTTAATGCAGGTGGGAATTGAAGCTTGGAAGAGTGCTCGTGACAGCACAGGATTTACGCCCGAAGATTATGCTCGACTGCGAGGCCACTATTCTTACATTCATCTTGTGCAGAGGAAAATTAACAAGAAGGTATCTTCTGGGCATGTGGTTGTTGATATTTCTGGCACTCTTTCAGATGGAAGCATCAATCAGAAGCAAAATGGAGGGGTTGCAGCTGGTTTTGAGATAGGAAGGACAATTCAGCGGTCGTGTAGGGATTGTGATCAGAAGCTTGCTTATGGTATTGGCAATCGATCTCTGGTGTACAAGCCTGCAATGCTCTCAATGGCGGGCATAGCTGCCATATGTGTTTGTTTGGCTCTTCTTTTCAAAAGCTCGCCTGAAGTTCTCTTCGTGTTCAGTCCCTTCAGGTGGGAGATGTTGGGCTATGGTTCCGGCTGAGTTTGACAAGAAATTAAGTGTGTTAAAAGTAATAGATCTTTTGTATTTGTATGCATGTATAAGCTGTAGATTTGATACACGTATAGAAAATAGCTCTTTAGGCAAGATTTCAGATTCTAGGATTATCAACCTATTTATGTTCCATGAAAATGGATTTGCATTTTTGTTTTTGGGGGAGTGTAAAAAGGTCACTAGCAATTTCTGCAACTTATACATTTGTTGTGATATTGGATCGTGTATTCATGAAATTGTTGTGCTTAAGATTTATCTTTTGTGTAGCAATAGGCCACACCACGTTAAGTTAGAGACTATCCATACCCATATGCAATGCTTTGTTGAATACATATGGGCCATTCTGCATTGGAAACTACCCAAATGCTGCATAAATAATTACCCATCATTTTCTCATCCTCAACTACAAATCTATACGTGATGTCTGATGGCAGAGAATATAATGTTTTACATGTCTCGAAATTCGCAATGGGCTCATTTATTGAGAAGCTAATGTTATATATATGACGATGATTTACCAAGCATCTGGCATCTGCAATGTCGACCGGACCGTGCTGGCATCTTTGATGAATCATTCCTTAGCTTATTAAATATACATATTGCCTTTGAAAAGTTTCAATTGACAAGCCAATGGTAAGAAGACCCCTAGCTATCCTTCCTATGCTCTTCCTTTCCCTGCTGTGTTTTGTTGCTTGTACAGGTCAGTTTCCTACTTGTTTCTCTGTAAATATTTTATGTAAGTTCCAGTGATTGATGAAAATTGGTGCATGCTTTGAATAGGACCGCTGAGGTGGATTCTTCTTTCGAGCTATCTCCTCTATTATCTGTCCTTGTGGGTTTTGGCCGCAATGGTGGAGGTGGGATGAGAGAGCAACAAACTATTGCACTGCATGTGGATGCTCAAGCATGGTCCAATCTCGGTGCCAGATCTTTGAATTCACCACCTCCTGTTTTCCCACTTTGATCACTTTATGCCAAGAACTGATAACATTTTGTTTATGTGCCCCTTTCTATCATTATTTTTACCTTAATTTTCGATGGCTTAAATTTTAAAGAGACCATGGTGATGTTGGAAAAAATCGATCAAAGACACAGCAGTGAATGCCATAGAAATGAAAAACAAAAACGAGTATAAAAGAGAGAAATCGCTAATTAAATGTAGTTCGAGGAACCCACCGACTATCATCGGAGAAAAACCAACTAACTAATCAAATCAGGACTGAATAAATATTAACATTTTGATCTATTATGATTTTTTTTTTGTTCCATTTATGTTTCGTGATAAGCGGAAGCAATTATATCCTTAAAAGTGATGGGTCAACAAGGTGATAATATTTGTGAATTTTACAAAATATTTGAATAGGAAGTGATTTAAATTATCAAACAAGGACAAAAGTCTGCAATTTCTTATTCAGATTCACAAAGAACAGAAAAATAAAAAAGGAGAAAAATGCGGTGAGCGTGGATCGAACACGCGACCTTCAGATCTTCAGTCTGACGCTCTCCCAACTGAGCTATCCCCGCTTGTTGTTAGTTGTCTCAATTAATATTATATATTTCTATATCCAATCATCCAGCCACGGTGACTATTTCAAACTTGAAAGGGCAATCGGCAGTTGTAGAGGAAGATGGGGGGCGTGTCAGGGTTCAATCCTTCGAAGAACAATTATCTTAGGGTTTGTTCTTTCTCTTTAAATAATTATCTTTTCCCAAGAAATGAGAATCGCTATTAATAATTTATCCGTGTTTAAATCAATGCGATTCAGAAGAAAGATGCCAAGAATCACAAGAAATCATTGCGGCATTGCCAATTATCCCAGTCGAGTACTGGTAACCTATTTTCAACCCTTTTCGCAAGAAATTTATTCTAGTATTCGACATCAATTGAAAATTTGAAATAGATGATTAAATAATTACAAGTTTCTTTGTTATTTGAATTTATAATATACATATGGGACAGTGTGCAATTACAAAATTGTTGATTTTGAATTTTTTCCAAATTTTGAGCTTCAAGTCAAGGAATCTTGGACTGTTTAATTTGCTGTGTGTTCATCTAAAAAGGACCTAGTTGCCAGTCATTTTCTTTGCATGTATATCTGTTTTCTTATGAGACAATGCATGGTAGGACATGTTTGTGGGTGTGGAGCCTGATTTTTGCATACTTTTCCCCCTGGCCGCGGTTCGACCTAATATAAAGGGTATTAGGAAGAGCCTCCGGTGAGAAAAGTAGAGAGAAATCAGAGGGACGCGTGAGTCGAAAAACATCTTTCTTGATATAGTGCAATTCCACAGCGACACTTAGTACAGTAGCTTTCACATTGAGAGTGAGGTTATTTTATGTTATTAATTGCTCTTGGAAATAAGAATTATCCTATTAAACTACAACAATGTCATGGATAAAATCTCAATGTCGTATGGTAAAGATAATCAAGATAGGTGTCTGGGCTTCCCCAAGATTTAGTAGGACATACTCTAAATATAGCACGAAATAATGGAATGTTATTGAGCCCTAAAATTTGCTAAGTTTCTGTTGTCGCTCCATGATGGCTCTAATGCCAGCCCAATGCCCTTCTTCTGTTCAATGACTTCAATCCTTTTACTTTTCTCTTTCTTTATTACCATACGAAATGATTGGGGATGGAGTGCTTAGGATCAGCCTAATTCTAAAAACTGCAGAACTATGCTGAGATTTACACTTTTAATCTATGCTGAGATTGGAAGGGGGAGGAGGCAAAGATATCTGCAGCTTTCAACCTTGATCTATAGACTTATACTATTGCATTTGTAATTTGTCTAACTGCATGTCAATAGCTTTAATCTTCGCAGAAGTCGGAGTTAGGTTGATTGGTAGAATAAAAATTTCCTGCATTTACATGTACACATAAAATTGTTATGTATTCTTTGTGGGGCCATCTACTGCTAGTAGTTTCATCTTCTAGATGGACATCGAGTTTGTCATGCCATTATTTACATTCTCAGATTATTACAGGTGGTGATTTAGAGGGTATTCAAAAACTGACCTCCCTGAAATAGAGAAGAGAAAGTAAGTTATGGGTGCCATAGCTAACTTCCCTTAGCTTTCTTGCCTTTTTATGCCATGTGGTATTAGTTACTTTGAATAGGCAATATACCTCCGTTCTGTTTTCATATATGTCTGTGTACCGGGAAATATGCATGTACACTCACCTTTCTTTGTAATACAATGACAGCATGTGTTTGTGGGTGTTTTCTGTTCACCGGATCCCAAGAACAACAAATATTAGAAACACAGAGTGACTAGTTAAACATCCAGAAAGTACTAAATCATTTGGTGGCACTATTCTTTGTGAACAATGCTCTTCAGTGCATGAAAATTATCCTGGAATATCTTTCAACTACATACAGAACAAATCATTGTTCCAGAATTGTTCAGGACTCAGTTAACTTATTCTGTATACTGGTGCCTTGGTTCACGAAAGAAGGCTGGTTTACAGTTCTTTTGCTTAAGATATTCTTTTCTCAAGGGAGTCATTCGACCCCAAATTAGATGTGTCCACCACTTTTCATGCTAGCAAGATGCTCTAGATCATGAGGCGAGTTGTTCCTATATCAGAAGATATCAATTTGTTTCTGGAAGTCATTCCTCTATTCTTAAAGTGTACTAAAAGTGAGTGATCTCTCTCCAACATTTTTTACTTGCTATTTGTTTGTGTCATTTATTATTAGTGACCAATCAAGTAATCTGAAGATTGAATTTCAGTCCTGCAATTTGTTGATGAAGATCAAACTCATTCATGAACGGAGATGTGATATTCAAATCCTTCATTTGTTTTTTACCTTTTTACAGGACTGTTGGGACTTGGGCAGTTCATTCACATCTTCCGTGGCAGGCTCCATCTATGCCCTGGGAAAGCTCTCTTGTTCTCGTTTTGAGTAATTCCCCTTGTACTTTTTTGTTTTTTGTTTTTATCTACCAAAATGGAAAACAGCCAAAGTGTGCATATGTAAAAAATCCGTCAAACTTTTTCTGTATACATAGCATCACTCTCTTGTTTTAGCATATGATCATGGTTAATTTCTGTATGTAAACAGAAATGTATTACAATTGATCAACGTTCAACACGTACCATCATACTGGTAGGGCCATCCTGTAGAGTTTGGAGCAGAAGAACAAATGTCTACTCTCCCATTTTTGTGGATAGATCCATTAATTGAGGAGGAGTAAAGATGTTTAAATTTGTTGTTGCTTCTTGCATTTATGCAGGCGGTTCGTAGTGTGTTTGGTGCAGCGGAGTAATGCGGAAAATGATTGATACTCGGAACACTTGTTGATTTGAACACCCAGAATTTGGCCAACAAATGATTTACTAGGAATTCCAATTAATTGAAGAATTGAGAAACTCTCAATTTTTCATTAATAAGAAATTAAGTTACAATGAACTCTAGTTCTAGCCTCCCTTCAAAAAAAAAAAAGAAAAAAAATAATTCCTAACTTACTATTCTAAACAAATACAAACTGTAAGAAAATGATTAAATTTTTTTTTCGTATAATTAAATCAAGGAAATAAATAAATAAACATAAATTTTGTTTGAATGGTAGACTTTTCAATTTTACAGCTTAAACAATTGAATTGGGCCACAAAACCAGTGGGCTCAAGGGCTTGAGCCCATGAGTTAAACTTTAGAGGCCAGTTTCTATCCAAAAAGCGATATTAATAAGGGAACAATACACAAATAAGATATTTCCTTTCACCCAATTCGAAAATCCAAAAACAAGTTTGAAAATTCACAAATCAGGTTTTTTAAAATTTTAATTAATAATTAATGAATTATTAAATCAATTTATTATTAAATATTTAATTCTAATTTAATATAATTACACCACCCCACCTCGACCACTACAATCGACTTTCCGATCACCATTCTTCTCCGGCGATTGTTCCGACGACCTCTCCGCCGACTACTCCGGCGACTGCTCCGATTCCGGCACGTATTTCGATGACCGTTCTGCCACTTTTTAGGTCACAATTCAAAAATTTCATAGGTCACAATTTGTTCATCGGTCACAATCACAAAATTTAAAAGTTGCGTTACTTATTTTATGGTCACAAACACCAATTTATTGGTCACAA